AGAAGGAGGCGGGGAGGTGGGGAGACGAGGAACCAGATCAGCCCTGATCGCTTGCCAGGCCTAGGGACCCTACCCATGCACCAGGCCTCTAGTAAAAGTAATAAGCCTTACATTGTTGGTTATTTAGATGTTCCAGTCTTTTTTTTGGAGCATTGCTTAAATGAATAACTATGTACAGGTGTCACTAAATGATGTCTTTAAAAGCATTTCATTTTCTTACTCTTATTGCGGGTGTATAGAAATAATAATTGATATTTGTATGTTAATCTGACATTGTGATGTGCTTTATTTTCTCTGTAGAGGTAATTAGATCAGTGATGGCGAACCTATGACACACATGTCAGAGGTGGCACGCAAACTCGTCTTTTTGGTTGATTTTTCTTTGTTAAATGGCATTTAAATATATAAAATAAATATCAAAAATATGTCTTTGTTTTACTATGGTTGCAAATATCAAAAAATTTCTATATGTGACATGGCACCAGAGTTAAGTTGGGGTTTTTCAAAATGCTGACACGCTGAGCTCAAAAGCTTCGCCATCGCTGAATTAGATGATCTTAAACATCTATGTCTGGGAACAGACCAATTTGACTCTTCTTTTCTGGTTTTTATTTACTTACTATCAGTAACCTGCTGGGCAGCTTTTGTAGTACACAGTGCTACCTCAGTTCTGTAATTTAATTCGTTCCAGAAAGCTGTTTGAGAGGCGATTTGTTCGAAAACCAAATCATATTTTCCCATTAGAAATAATGTAAATGGAATTAATTTGTTCCAGGCCCCCAAATGATTTCCCGATTTAACCTTACAGTACAGCACTTCCTTACTTAAATTTACTGAACCACTCCCTACTATCCTTAAATCACTTTCAGCAGTTGTTCCAGGGGTGTCTTTCAGGAGGTCAGTATGCAACATTTTCGGTTTTTCACTTATCACTGCCTCTGTAATGTTGTCGCTGGCTAACTGCTTTTCCTTTGCCCAATTCAGCTTCAGTTTTTCTACCTCTTCAATTGCCTGTGATCATTGTTTCTTTCGCACCCTTAGCAACAATAGCACTCTTGATGGCCTCTTTATGATTTAAAATTGTGCTAAGCATCCATTTTGCCAGCAACAAAAGCAAAAAAAAAGAAAGACAAAAACATTCACAGCACAGTTTCCTGAGGTGTTAGCAAGGTGAGGTTTAGCCATAGACTGACTCATACAGGTGCATTCTCCTTTGTTTTTGGCCTGACAGACACTTTTTATCATATTGATGTATGGAAAGGAAAGCATGGTGTTTATAGATTTTTTTTTTTAGCAGATGCTTTTTATTGTGTTAAAGATGTCTCCTAATTTTCCCATTTTAGCTAGCATCTTTTATCATGACTGATTTTTCTGTATCTTGAGAAGTTCATAGAGTATGTCTCTTTAGCTTTGTTATTTACGTTAATTTTTTTAAATTTAGAACTATCCTTAAATTACTAAGATAAATGGCATTTTTAAAGTTTTTTTTAAGTTCTAGAATAAGTTTGTTAAACTTTAATTTTCATTTAAATTTCCATGATTTTAATTGAGATTCCCATAAAATTTGTGGTTTTATTTATGGTAAATATTTAATACCTAACTCTTCAGGAAAAAGTCCTCATTTGTACCTTTTATCAATACCATGGTATAAATACTTCTGCTATAGCAGATTTCCATCTACTACTGAAAGGAGTTTTAGGGATAAAATAGGCAGGTTTAGGGAGTTTTAGGAATAAAGAGAGTCCATGGAGAGGACTGCGTAGGTAAGGGCTTGGAGCTGCCAAAAGGCATACATTCACAGAGGGGGAAAAAAAAAGAGGTGCCACAGAATAAGGGGAAAGGAAGACATCCATTCACAGAAGATAGGGGAAAGCCACAGGGTATGGGGAGAAAAAGAAAACAAACTTTCACAGAGGTTAGAGAAATGCTGACAAATGGGAGAAAGAGGAAAACAGATTTTCACAGGAGATAGAGAATTCTACCACTGAAGCGGGAGAGAAAGAGGGGGGCCCCATGTGGGTTTCGAGCTTTGAAATTTATAATCTCCCAATTGTGTGAAGCGACAAAGATAAACCTTAGAAAAAAGGAGCTTAGTAGGTTACCCCCCTTGGGACTCCCTCCCTACATGGAGTCTGTACTTGCTTCCAATAAATTTCCACCCTTTTCATCTACCACCTTTTGTCCGTGGCTTCATTCTCTGAATCCATCTGGACAAGGACTAAGGAAAGAAATCACCCTTGCATCCTGCTCAGGAAAACAACCTGACTCACTAACATGTTACTCGATGTGGAGTTG